AATAATACACATGGAATAAATTAATTAATCAAATTAATTAAGTTCATCTAAATGACTAAGAAACATTAACGCTTCAGAAACATCTTCTACAAATTCTGTTACATCAAATAAATTTTCTGTTTTTTCGTCTTCTAATTCAGTTATAGGTAAAGTATTAATATATGTAATAGCTCCTTTTTTCTTTCTGAAGAATACTAGGAGGGTTAGATGAAATAAAAGTTCCTTTCTTAAAAAATTGTAAACCCGTAGAGGTATAGATAAATCCTCCAGTGAGTGAATTTATAAAATTTAATCCTAGAATAAAATCATAAGTTGGACTATTATTAACTACATAGGTTTGTGGTAAAACAAACTTTTCATTATTAATTACTATAGAAATATTCTGGACACAATGAGTTATTGGTATTTTTTCATTATTATATTGACTAATATTAATATTATAATTTAATTTTATTAAAGCTTCATCTGGTACTAAATGTCTTTTAATGATACTTTTAGATGCTACAGTATCTAACATAGCTGAAGTTTGAACTAGTTTTTCTTTAAATTCCAGTGTTACAGGAAATTGAATTAAACTAGATGGTTTATATATTGAATTTATGGATTCGACTAGGGTATTTTCTAGCTTATTTTCGTATTTATTATAACAGTCGTGACATAATAGGTTTTTACAATGATCTTTACAATAATATCCTTCCTTAATGGAAGAACTACATTATTTACAGTTATAATCTGAGAAATGAAATTTAACTAACTCATAATGACATGAAGAATTACTTATAGTGCAAAGATAATCTGTCATAGAATGAAGTCCTTGTTCAAGATCTTCATCATTATCACTACAAATACTTTCTATACTATATATGCTGTCATTATCGTCATCGGAATCGTAAATACTTTCTAATTCATATAATTCCTCTATTTGTTCTTCAATATCTTCAAGTATATTAATTTTTTCTTGTATTTGCTTAATAGGGTTTTGCTTATATCGATAAGGGCAATTTGGTCTTATATGACCTGGATCTCCACAAATAAAACATTTGCACCTTCTTTCCTTTGTGGGTAATGTAGTAACTTTATTGTCTTTATTATCCTTTCTATTCGTAACTATTTTTCGTTTTTTATACCAAGGACGTTTTCTAAATGGTTTAGGGTTGTTTTTAAAATTCTTAAAATATGGTGATTTTTTATTATAATTTTTATAGGTCTTGCTTTTTCTTAACTTATATTTTCGTGGTTTATTTCTTTTAAAAGTTTTTTGAGGTATACAACCATATTGGGGGGGAAAGTCTAACCATTTTTCTCAAATCTTAGTTTCTACGCTTCCGGGTAATTTCAAAAGATATCGATCTAATAAAGTTAGATCTCCGATTTTTCCTGTAGCAGAGAAATATTCAAAGAACTTATTGGTATAGTCACGTATGTATTTAAAATCACTGATTTGTAATAACTCTAAATTACGTAAGGCTTCATTTTGTTTTATTTGAGTTTCTTCTAACAATCTATCTTCTCCTAATAATAACCTTTTGATTAAACTGGTAAACTGTTGAATTGTAAAATTATCTTTTAAGACATTATAATCATTAACATAATTAACTTTATAAGCTTGCCACCAGTTTTGAATTGTGCCTCTTAATAGAGTTTCACAATAAGTTAATGCTTGTGTTCTATTATCAAACCGAGTTAAAATAACTACTCTAATGCAGTCTTGTTCCCAATTATCAATTACTTTTGACCAGTCTTGGGGATCATGTCGTGATATATCTAGTATAGTTCCTGCGTTGTGTGCTGGAATATTATCGTAGCGTCTACGCTGTGGTGTCTAAGTATACATATATGGTATATTTCTATTTTCTACGTATGTTTCCTGTGTAGGCTGCAGTCGTTGTCCCATGAGATATTCATCATTTGTTCTATTTGTACTACTTGTTGCATTATGTATTTCTTGATCTACAGATCCTGTAGGTATAGATGTAGATCCTTCTGGTTCTTTTCCTTCTCTATGCATTACTTGTTCTTCATTAACATTTAATTCTTCTTTTAGGGTGTTTAGTTCGTGTTGGGGTATAAAAGGATTCAAAACCTACTTTTAATATATTTCATTTAATATCATCATTATTTCCTTCGCCTAGATAAATGCTTTCTATGAGTTGGTAATTGGGCTCAGGATATTTTTCTTGTAAATCTTCTATTTCAAGATTATCAAAATCATGCATTATTTTGTCTAATATTTCATCTTCTAATCGATCATAAAGAACATTTATTTCTTCAGGGGATTCTATTTCTATGAGTGTGGTTAAGAAATCTTATTGGGTATCATCTACTAAATTATCTTGTCTTTTATAATTACTAAACCATATACTAACTTCTCCATTATTTTGAACATATATTTTATTACTCTCAAGTATCTTTTTAGTTGTAGTAGAGAGATTAGGTAATTTCCATTCTGTTCCTTCATGGGTGATACTACTTACTTTTTTAGCTTCAATCATTTGGACATATTTACTACTAAAAGGTTTAACTATTTCACTAAATTGAGCTTTAAATTTTAAATTATATTGATTAACTGCCTTTCCCATAAATAAAGTATTTACTAATAGGTTGTCAAATTGTCCTGTCATATTATAACCTTTTGTGGATATGGCTATCTTTATATGTTTACTAAATTCTCTAATAGTCATGGTAAAATTGGGAATACATCCTACTATTGCTGCGTTATCTGCTAAATCTATTTCAACGCTGGCTATTTGTGCTTGTTGATGGTTATTCCATCTATCATCATAAATATAAGCAAGTGCTCTAGTTCCTATTTCTGCTCTGTTTAATCTTACTATTCCTAACATTATAACGCCTAGATGCGTAAGTCCTAAATTATTCTCATTTAACTCTTGACATGCTTCGGGTGTTATAAGGTCTAAAACTAATTGATTGTTAACTACACTTATTTGTCTCTGACTAAAATGATTATATATCTTGTTTTAGAAATCTAGTAAATTATTAGAATAAAGATTAACTTTATTTTTTACTTTTTTCATTCTTTTTTCTATATAATTTTTTGCATCATGTTCATTATCATATAAATCTTCTACTCTCATTATTTTTTTGGCTTTTCTAAGAATGATGGCCATTGTGGAATTTGTCTATGAGGATGGAGTAGATTTACACGCTTGGTGGTTTCAGGTAGCGAGAGCTGATTAGTAGTTGATAATTTTATCTCCTTTATTTTATCTGATAATTCAGATAGTTCCTTAGAGGATTCCCTGGGAATACTTTCTTGTATAACCTCTAATTTTTCTTTTAGTTAATTAACTTTTTCAGATAACTGAAGTAATAACTGGATTAAAAAGTTATTTTGCCTAATATGTATATTAGTTGATTGTACGTCGGTCTTAAAACTTGTAAATCATATGGGTTCTTTATCGATTTTATAAAGTTCGGCTAAAGCTGTTAAATAATTAGGATTACTGGTGCTCATAAAACTATTGTAATAGCTTTTGTATATCTTTCTTAAGGGATTTTAAGTAATCTATAATTATATTTTGATTTTCAATAAGTTGTTTTATATCACTATTTATATCTTTAATTGCGACTAATATTATTTTATTGTCTAAATTATTTGAATTAGAATTCTGTGTTACTTGTTCTTTAATATAATCAAGATTTTCTCCTAATCTTTTTATAGAATTATCTATATTATTTAGATCTATTCGACTCATAAACTAAAATCTTTGTCGTCTAGCTTCTAAAATATTATGTATTCTAATTATTCTTGATCTAAGTTCTTCTATTCGTCTTTGTAGGCTATGCGATGTATTTCCTAGTGCTTGTGAGATGTAACTATTCCTAAGTGCTTTTTGACAAAATTCTAAAACTTGTAAAAGTTGTTCTTTGGGTATATTATGCATAAAATAGACTTTAGGGGTAAAAATATAATTTCTGCTTACTAAAGGGGACTTAGTTCATGTATAGGTAAATATGCAAACTACGTTCATCTATGGGTAATATACTCACACTAAGACCACTTTACTGTAAAAATCGCTTGTTTAAACATTTGTATTCTCAGTCAGCTTGCGTATAGGGATGTTTAATATTTTTCTTCTTTTACCTTAAATGTTTAGATTCTCGAATAACTATCAAAACTTTGTCTTTTAATTTACTATTTTGTTAACCCACTATTTAGTAATTTGGTTAGATTGAATCTACTATTTATTTTTATTTTTTTATTTTTTAGTGTTTATTGTTTTTTAGTAGTTATTGTAATATGAAGAGTTAATGGTGGAAATGAAACCAAAGTATTTACCAAAAAAAAGAAACCAAATTGCCTTACATTAATCAATATGTTATCCTTTTGAGGACTCAAATGGATTATTATATTCATCTGAAAAAAAATTGCTAAACTGATAAAATATGACCCTAAATAAATAAATAGTAGTAATACTAATGATTTGTGTGAAATTTATTCACATTATTGATTTTTTTTTTTTTTCTTTTTAAGACTTAAAAGTGTGATTGCCCAATGGAATATGACTGTTAATACTCAAGGAGCAGAACAATTCTATCGGTATATACATGTAAGTAATTATTATTAATATTTTATATATGTAAGTAATTATTTTATATATATATATATATATATATTTCCTGGACAAGAAATGGCCCCTCATCTCCCTCGCTGAAATTGTCTCCACAAATGTTTAATAATAAATAAATATATATTTTATCTCATTAACATAGTGTCATAATTTTCCATAAGAATTAGCCTGACAATATATTCGGAAACTCGGGAGAAAAACCCAAAGACGTTTATGTATTAAATTTAATAATACACCCGCTACTATTAATTTACTCACAATTAATAGTTGCTCTGATAATTATAAATCAAATGTATATATAAATAAAAATAATAATAAGAAATCACGAGGCGATTCCTTTAGGGCCGCCCTTTTACTTTTCTGCCGTTAAAAAATAATTAAATAAATAAATAAAAATTAATAAAAGGGTAAGCACAAATTCTCAAATGGTTTTTTTAATGGTATTAAAATATCAAATTTATCCAAAATAAAATAAAATAAAATCTCTCAAACAAAGTCATAATTTCCCAATCAAATGACTGCAAAAGAGTAAGCAAAATTGTAAGATAAGAACAATGCCAAAGGAAACCCTAACAAAAACTGAACTACAACAGACCACACAATAAGAGAGTTTCTTGGATAAAGACGCTGGCCTCATCAATCTTCCTCTTCGCCCTCGTTCTCGGCAATGTTGAAGTACCTCAGTTCATAAATATTTCGGTCTTTGTTGGAAGCAATCACCCGAAGCCAATCCCTCACGTTGTGTTTCTTAAGGTATTTCTTGGTCAAGTACTTCAAGTACCTAAACCACAAGCCAACATTCATATGAAATTACAGCCACAAATTAGACCCAACCATCTTGTTCTGATAAAGCAAACATCCATAAGATATTCTGTCTATTTTCTTCCTATTTATCTTTTGTTTTTGACAAACAGCTTATGGTTTTAAAAATACAAAATTAGGCATACATATTACAGGATATGCGTGTTTCTGCATTAATATCAATAATGGCAGACAATTCAACAGCTAAGTCATTCAAACAAATACAAATTTATCATACAAGTAAAAATATACATATGGTGCCTGGGATCCTGTGTGGTACAGGACATAGGTTCCCAACTCATACATACTCCCTCTGTCCCAAAATAAGTGTCATGTTTTCCTTTTTTATTTGTCATAAAATAATTGTCCACTTTCCTTTTTCAAACAATATATTTCACATCTTTCCATATATGTCCTTTGAGTTTTAAATTTCAAACTTGAATATTCAAAACTTAAAAAGGCAATTTAGTAACTTTCCAAGGAGACAATGCATGTCTCACATGTCTACTTAAAAATAACTACTCCCCAGAAGTGACACTTAAATTGGGACAGAGGGAGTATGACATTAAAATGAAGGAATTCCTTATTTGGCATGTCAAAACCCATCCATCTACTAAATGGCTGCTAAGCTCTGAAGCATAGACACAGCTGAGATGGGGGCCGTACTGGTGACGGGCAGTGACTCCCTAGAAGTAGACATTAAAATGAAGGAATTCCTTTTTTTTTTTTTTTTTTTTTGGTAAAGTACACTAACACCCTCTGAGGTTTGCCAAAAGGACACACAAATGAAACTTAGCCTATTTTGGGACAAAGACACCCCCTCAAGTTTGATACACTTACCAAAGACACCACAATGATAATGAATTGACATTTTTGCCCTTTAACTTTTAAATTGACTAATTTGAATGTTAAAATGACCTTTCTAACCTTCCTAATCTATTTCTTTCCTTCTCTCCTCTCTCTCGGTTCTCTCCTCCTGCAACACCAACACACACACACACACACATATATATACATATCCACACATATAGACACACACACACACATATATATAACATATATATATCCACACACACAAGGCGGCGACGGGCGGCGGCGAGCTGTCGTCAAGGAGAATAGCACTGGTGAATTAGATGATGATGATGTCGACGGCGGCAGAGGCGGCGACCGTGGTTGCAACAGAGGCGGCGACGGTGGTTTTCAGATCTGCAAATCGCGAGAATTTCACGCACCCACAATCGTCTTCTTCCTTCAATACCCACTGCAGCCGCAGCCGCCGCCGCCGCCACAACACCCACCACCACCACCACCGCCACACAATCGGCTTCGCACCCACACCCCTATATACCACCATCATCACTGGACCACCACCACCGACCACCACTCGTTTCAACACCATCCCACCTGAAAATTAACACCCAAAAGCCATACCCAATTTTCTTTTTCTATGTTCATATATATATATATATATATACCACTCGTTTCATATATATATATACTAAAGAAATTTGTTGTTTTGTTCTTTCTTGGTCTATTTTCTTTCTTTGTGGCTATGTATAGAGAGAGAAAGACACGGTATTTTAGAGAGAGGGGGCAAGGGTAATTTAGTAATTTAATTATTTTGATATTTTATAATTACAATTAATTAAATAGTGAAGGGTAAAATTGACTTTTCACTGGATTTTAGGCTCTGTTTGGATTGTAAATTTGATAAGGGGGAGTCTTTGTCCCAAAATAGCCTAAGTTTCATCTGAGTGTCCTTTTACCAAAGCTCAAAGGCTGTTAGTGTACTTTACCCTTTTTTTTTTTTTTATAAGTAAGATTTATTATACAAAACGCTCAAAATGGAAGCGGAATCCCAAGAAACACAAGGGCCAAAGGCACCTTAAACCTTCAAAGAGCCAAAAAAAAATCTCCTTTAAAGATCTAGAATCTCTCCCTGAGACCCAACAAAAAATAGTGGAAATAATAGAGAACTTAAGCATAGAAACAGGTTTCTCCTTTCCCTCAAAATATCTCCGATTCCTCTCAAGCCAAATGCACCACCAAATACAAAGAGGCGTAGCCCTCCAAGCATCCCGCACGAGAGCCCCAACAGAAACACCTCTCCAAGCTTCAATCAACTCTCTAGAGGAATGCGAAGGAATTCCTTATTTGACATGTCAAAACCCATCCATCTACTAAATGGCTGCTAAGTTCTAAAGCATAGACACAGCTGAGATGGGGGCTGTACCCGTGACGGATAGTGACTCCCTAGAAGTCTTTTTTTATATATATAAATATTGGACACCCCAGACACCGATGGGACACGCTGGAGGACTTTTCTTGTTTAAATAGAGAGGAAGAAGATGAAGAGGAGACCAAACCATTGTGGAGAAGATTGGATTGATAGTTATGTGGGTATCATATATATCCAAATTGATTTTATGTGTATAAATACACACATATACAAATCATATGTATATATCCATTCAAAGAGAAAAAAATATGAAAATTGGGAAGAGCTGGAAGGGATGAGAGATGATCGGCCAGAAGAGAGGGAGCACAGAGACATTTAGGGGATGAGAGAGGAGAGAGAGTGATGTGCAGAGAGGGGGAGATATAAGATAAAATTTCCAAATTCTCTTCTTTCACAACTTGTTTGGCCACAAGGAACTTTATTTTTTCAAAAGAAACATGGGCTGGCCAAATTTAAACGGGTTGTGTTTATCATACATATAAGAAATTGAGCGAAAGCTATATTACTATTTAATTGCTATATTACTATTTAATTGCCCGTGTCCGTGTCTGTGTCCTATTTTATTGAAATTTACCGTATTGCTGTGTTGTGTCTGTGCTTAAGCCATCAATCACACAAAAAAGAATTCCTAAAACAGTGGGGACATTTCAACAACAATGCAATTCAGATTCTAAAACTTAATAAAATACGGGCAAGAGTTGTTAAGATCTATCCCTTAATTAAAAAACCATCCACAAAATTTCAGTGCCACACAGTCTGGCATGCTTCTGCTGCACAATATATTTTTTTGCTACTAAACTCCCAAATTCAAAGGATAGTATCAGACACAATCGCCACAAGCAATATAACAGACCACCAAGTGAGTGGGGAAGATGTATATATAACTCAGTTTACATATACAGGGACATATTAATCTAGAAAAAGATCTTTATATAAGAGAAATGTTCCGAAGGAAGAGTTATTAGAAAAGAAATAGAACTTACTTTAAATGGAAATTGGAAGGAAAACTTTTGAAAAAAGAACATTAAAAAATAACCTTTCTAAATATATTATTTTATAGTTGTCAAAACTTGATTACATACAAATTTAAGTGGTCCTGATCTCCAACCTTTGCAACTTAATGCAATAGAGAGAGCCGTTAAAGGCCTTCAAAATTATAGAAGTACATGAAAAATGTAAATCATGGAAAATAAAGCTAACAATTCATGTACAAATTTACAGAATACAATATACTAATACTATACATATACCTGATACTTTATAACAGCTGATATATGTTACAGCTTTATATTGACATTATAATATCATTAAATGCTCCACATATATACTAACTAAAATAATGATTTCTATATACAATGCACAACATAACACGAAAGAAGAAAAGCATAAGTAACATATGACAGTAAACTAACAGTCAAATTCATACATCACATGCATATAAATTATGCATTAAGGATTAGCCTTCTCATTTCAGAAATTTGTAGAGAGAACAAAAATTCTACATTGTAGTCGAGTCATGAACATGATGGCTGCCATCATGAAACCATTACACACCTATACACACAGACACTACAATGTGGTTTAACAACACACATCCTTTAAAAGGGAAAAATAGAGAGAGGTCCGCAGAAGAGAGGAGGAGGGAGGGGGGAGGAACCCAAGTCCTCTCCAGTGTACCGTGCAGTGCCACTCATTGGAGAGGACTGTCCTATATTTTGCATAAATCACTTATAAAGTTTTTATAACACTTTATAATACATTTAAGAATTATATAAAATTTTGCAATCAGCTTATACAAATATTTGTATACTTAGTGTAATTTGTTTATATAAAATTATATGCAAGTCTTATATATGTGTGTGTATATAAGTATATATTGCCTGTATCTGTATGACTTATGCTTGTCTAGATATGATTAGTGTGACTGATTACGAGCGACTTATGTAATAGAATGTTGCCTACGATGGCATTGTGTGGATTGTTGGACATTTGATATAGCATATAATGGAGACTTCAATTCTGAACAACTCCTAATTGGAGGGCAAGTAATACTGTAATAGTATTTTCTTTTTTCTTTTCTTTTTTTGATAAGAAATAGTATTTTCTTTTTATTTGATTATTAATTGATTATAATCATTATCACACCCAAGTTCTCACCAAAACAATGGGTTTTTTTTATTAAAAAAAAAAAAAAAAAGTAAAGAAGCAAAACAATGGGTTATGGATCCAAAAGTTCAGGATGTTATCTAAGCGAAGAGATCAGATCAATATGAAAGGAAAACCAGAGTTTAATTAGCATCAAACATTAATATATGATAGCTCATTGAAATTATTTCCTTTAAAATACTCTTAGATCAGTGCTGCTAGGATCTGTGAAGCAATCTTTTATATTTTCAGGTTAAGGCATTGAAAAAACTCAAAATAACATAACTTATCTAGCGTTGAAGACTATACATTTACACTTCTTTGGCAAGAAAGATTAATTTTCAATGCATATTGTCCCAAGGGTTACTTGTGAAGATTTTCTATTAAATGTTTGTAACTATCTATCCAATGGAAATCTACACTATGGAATTCTACAAACTGAGAATTATGTAACAATATATGAAATCATTTCTCAAAATATTATTGGTATAAATGAATCCTGAGAGGTTGTTAAGTTAAAATTTTATTATCATATTCCAAAAGTTTATAGAAGAGATAAAGTCACTAATGAAAGTGTGAGAAGAAAATTAGGTGTAGCAGCCATTGATGAAAAAATTCGAGAGACTAGACTTAGATAGTTTGGACACATACATTCGAGACCTAATGACGTGCCGATCAAACGAAGAAGACCAATTGTAATAGAAGGCAAGAGACGGAGAGAGCGGCCAAAAATAACATGGAATGAGGTTATTAAAAATAGTATTAAAAAGTTAAAAATAATAGGTGAATTGGCATATAATAAAAAAGTTTGGAGAGAAAGCATTCATGTGGCCGATCCATTCACATGAAGATTAAGGTAAGGATGAAGGATGATGATACTTACTTATCAAAAAAAAATGATGGATGATGATATTCCAAATTTTAAGGCAAGCTTTGGGTTTTCGAAAAACCAGTATTCATGGCGCGACAGTTTGAGGTTCCATTCATCTCATGTTCTCAACAGATTTCCCACTATGAAACTTGATGAATACTTACTATCTTTTAATATTGGAGAACAAAATCTTCCTACAGAATCTACACAAAAAATCTTCCTACAGAATCTACACAAAAAATCTTTATTCTTCTTCCAAACCATTAAGATGGTAAAAAACAAATATCTTCCCTCTAAAAAATCAGAGTTTGATTATTGTCATTTCCTCTACCCTTCCCATTATAATACTTACACCACTATTGTGCTATTACATTGTATATGCCCACAAAAGGTAATTGCAACAAATCAAACCAGTTCTCTTTTTACATTGCACCAATTGGTTACCTAGCCAGCATAACTATACCAATAAGAGAACTATAGGTACGCCACAGAGAATCAAATATATCCACCAAATTTTAAAATTTAAAGTGGAAACTACAACATAATGTCAAACCCATCTCACAATTCTTTTATACATCCTAACAAAAATTAAATATTTTCTAATATGTATCACAAACAAAAATTAGTCGTCCACAACATAATAAAGCAGTCTTTGAACAAAACCCAATTACAGAAACTCCATAGAATCAAACCACATGCACACAAAACTGCACATAAATATACGGAGATGATAAAGTTACCTTTTGGAGAAGTTGCTGTCAGAAGTGACGGTGATCTTGTTCTTCTCTCTGCTGACGGTGACGGAATCTCCGAGAGCTCCAGCTTTGCCGCCGACCTTGATCCTCTCCTGGAGGAACTTCTCCAGTGAAGCAATGTCCATGATCTTGTCCTCCACTGGCTTCGCACAGTCGATCGTGAACGACGCCCCCTTCTTCTTCCCCTTCGCACCACCACCTGCGCTTCCTCGACTCATCTTCGATTGTTATTCACTGCGAACCACAAAATTGTGTAAATCAACAAACACGTCTCAGTAAAATGCATATAGACACACACACATAAACATATATAGAGAGTAGGGAGAGAACCAGATAGAGATTTGTTCGAGCTGGTAGTGCAGTCGCAGCGGCTACAATTGAGAAGAGAAATTAGGGTTTCATTTTGGTGGCTTATATATAGATAAATATATTTTAGGGAAAATTACACTAACCTCCCCTAAGGTTTAGGTAAATTACACACAAGTGGAGAATTAGTTCTTTATTACTTTGATATCTCTGAGACTTGGATCCTATGCTCAACCATACCCCTGCCTTAATAAAAATTTAAAAAATAATTAAATTGTCCTTTACTTATCTCAAAAGAACTCAATACCCTCATATTTTGACATACAATGTAAAAATTAACATTAAATGCTATTGAAATAATGCAAGGTATCAATTTTCATTACAAATTTTTATTATTAAATTATACAAAACAATTTTTTTTTTTTTTTATTAATGACATTTGATTATTTTTTCTTAGGATTTAATTAGGTTTTTTTAAAAAATAATAATAATAAGTAGCGTAATATAGCGTTTAAAAAAAAAAAAAAAAAAAAAAAAAGGACTTTTGGTTTAATATTTTTTTGGATAATTTATACCGACCTCCCTTATAGTTTGCCATAATTACAGGCGACACCCTTCCTGTTCCAGAAATTATGCGGACCTCCCTTACTTTTTAAAATATTCCACACGGACCACCCTCATCTCATCTGTGACGGACCGTTAAATACCCTAACGGAGCTGTCGAAATTACTGAAATACCCTCTCCTTGGCATCTGAAATTACTAAACTAACCATCAGCTTTTAATTAAAAAATAAATAAAAAGTCCCATAACCAACCTCACACGCAACTCAAAAAATTCATAAAAAATTCAAATCTAGCAAGATTAAGTTAAACAAAATCCTAAAATCTCATCAATAGTGTATTTCATTATCTCAAAATTTTAAAGACAAATAACAAGTCTAAGTCATGTAAATTTCAGTCCTAATATTTTTTACATGCTTTGACAAGATATTTAAACTAGTCCTAACAATTAGCGACAGTAGGTTATTGGGCCCTCCACACACCAATAATTGGAGTCTTACTTTTATGTAAACTTTAAGTTTATTAGCTTCTACAATGGCAAAGGATGATCATAAGAAGATAGTACTTGTTAATGATAAGTCATGTTAGCTTTGCAGTTCTGCAGATATATACATACATTGGAAACATAGCAGCGATTGAGGACATTATTGTGTGTGTGTGTGTGTGTGTATGAACCGTACATACAAAAAAAGAAGGAAGAAGAGAACCAAAGAAAGGGGGATAAATGAATAGTATTGTGTGTGTGTGCGCTTATATATATATATATATATATAAGAAGCAAAAAAGCAAAAAATAAAATAAAAATAAGAAGAACATAGACTAATAAGTTAAAGCTAGCCGGATTTCTGTCACCGGAACTGTCGTTCGCCTTAACTAAGACATGCTAGGGTTGTTCGGTCTTTGATTGCAGCTCGTCGGACTTGTTGCTGCAGAATGAAGATCACCGGAAAAGATGGATACTTCTGAACTAGAGGTGCGCTGGTTCAATCACCGTCACCGGAGCTAGTAATTGTAGTTTTGGAGCTCGCGGATGTGTCCCCGTCACCGAAATGGGTATGTCTTCAGTCTTCGCCGAAGTTTGCACCGACAGAAGTACACCGAAGATGAAGCTCTCTCTATATTTGCACAGATGGGAGATCACCGGAATCATGGTTCATCTAAACTGAAACATAGTGTGTCACTGGTTGCTATTGGGTCTTCAATCAGTCCCCTGATTCATCTGAACTGAATCACACAAATATATATATATATATATATATATATATATAAACAATTGGATAGAAACAGAGAGAAATTAACCTCATAGTGTGAGCTCTATAGATCGATCCCCAAAGTCTTCTGGTACTGATCGAACAGGTGCTTCGTTCTGATTAAATACATGACAAAAAACGCTAAGATTAATTCTAGAGAGAGAAAGCAAGAGTATTTATATAGAGAGAGAAAGGGGAATTTATATATAAACTTCACGTCTATTTTCCGCATTGAATCATTAAATTTGTGCCCGGCTCAAGTGAAAAATTGTTGCAGTTTCAGTTTCAGTTTCAGTTTGGGCACGTTTCAGTTTGGGCTTCACAAGTTTCAGTTTGGGCACGTTTCAATCCGGTGAGATCGAGCAACAATTTTAGAGACCCAATTCGAAAGCACAGAGCATCAGTGGATTTCATTGGTTTCAATCTAATGGCAGGCATCCTCCGGCGGTGTTATACATAATTTATATATATATATACACACACACACAAGCTTATAATGAGGAATGAGAATACAACACACAGAAATCAAAACACATGTACAGACACGTAATGAAGAAGATGAGGATATTTTCGGCATTTCATGAAAAATAGTAGCTGATGATCATTTTCCGTCATTGACTAGCATTGACTGTAACCGAAGGGGGGTCCGTATAGGATATTTTAAAAAGTAGGGATGCCCGCGTAATTTCCAGAACAGAAAGAATGCCGTCTGTAATTATGACAAGCTATAGGGGAAGTCAGTGTAAATTATTCTATTTTTTTTTGTTAAACTATTATTAAATTAAATTAGGGTATGAAAAATATTTTACATTCTTGGGGGAGATCAAAGTAATAAAGATTAATGCTCTATCAGTGTAATTTGCCTAAACCTTGGGGAAATCTAGTCACAGTTAGTAAAATTAAGGTATGGGTGAAAAAAATAAGAAAATTAAGGTAGAGGAAAATATATATATAATTTGATTTTTATAAAACAAAATACATTACAAATTAAAAATTGGGATAAATAAATCAGCCTGAGTGGAGGCATGAGTGTGGTGTGTGAATACCAACTAAAAAGAAAAAAAAAAAATGAATTATACAGTATACACATCTAATTTATTTTTTGGGTGAATTGCAAAAAAACCCCTTCGACTTTCACCCGTTTGTAAAAAACACCCCTTATGAATATTTTTAGCAATTAACCCCCCTCAACTATCATGAGGGGGTCATTTTAACTAACCTCTATTAGGGTGATTGTGTGAGAAAAATTTTATGACAAAATTACCCTTAACATGAAATATTCGTTTAAGTGATTGTGTAATAAAATTTTTGAACGAAATTACCCTTAAAACTAAAGTTTTTTTAACTGCATAAAACACTAAAATGAGGCCTCTGATTTTGAAATGAGGCCTTTGATTTTTTCTTTCGAAATGTTCTTGCATTTGGAATATATATAGTAATATGGTAGTTATTTATCAAATGTCAACTTAAATTGATTTTGGTGAAAAATAATAATAATAAATAAATAAATAAACCTTGTACAATGATTTAATATAAAATAAAATAAAGAGAGAGATACATATACGAGAGATCGAAAAATATCATTACCGTGATCTTTTATAAAATTTAAAAGTAGAAATTTATCAAACTATGTGGCAAAATCATCTCATATATGTGTGTGTGTGTGTGTGTGTGTGTGTGTGTGTAGCATATCACAATTTAATATAAAAGTATTGGGATTAAGATTTATGATGTTGAAATAAATCAATTTTTATGTCATAATAAATGCTCTTTCTACATAATAAACAAATAATTAAAGATAGTCCAAACAAATATTTGTTATTTAAGTGAAATATCTTTTGACTATAAAAAATAAATAAAAAATAAAAAAACAAGTGTGAAATATGTTTTGGGGGGGTGGGGGAGGGGGGTTTAATTTGTTTTGATATTATGGTGGATGCCTCCACTGGATTTTTTTTTTGGGTATGCTATATCCATAATTTTTTAAAATCTTATAAATTTATACTTTTAAATTTTATAAAAAATCATGGTTGTATATATCTCTCTTTATTTATCTTATTTTATAAAAAAATCATGACACGAGTTTTCTTTTTCCCACCAAAATCAATTTAAGTTGACATTTGATAAGTAACTACTATATTATTATATATATTCCAAATGCTTTAACATTTCGAAGGAAAAAATCAAAGGCCTCGTTTTCGTGTTTTATGCAGTTAAAAAAAAGAGTGAGTGGTGGGTACTTTAGTAATACTAATGTATTATTTTGATTCTAAATGTAATTTTGTCCTAAAATCTTCCTCACACAATCACTGTAACAAAGGTTAGTTAAAATAACTCCCTCATAATAGTTAAGGGGGGTTAATTGCTAAAGATATTAATAAGGGGTGTTTTTTGCAAATGGGTGAAAGTCGAGGGGGATTTTTTGCAATTCGCCCTTATTTTTTTTTAATATGTCATAGTTACAAAATAATAAAATAAATTCACATTTTTTGCAAATTAACATTGTCACAATAATCATTAAAAAAATAAATAATAATTAAAAATAATTAATCAATAATCATGACATCATTAGTTCATCACAATATCACTAAGACCTGTAAACATCTATAAATAAATAAAAATAAAGATCAGTAAAAATCTATATAGCTATAAACAAAATTTAAAAGATTTAAAAAGAATAAAGATTTGGAATAAATATATGTAATGTTTGTGCCTTTAGATATATATATATATATGTCTGTGTGTGTGATGTACATTGAGGTAAAAAAAAAAAAAAAAAAAAAAAAAAAAAAAAAAAAAAAAAAAATGAGAAAGCAAATTAAAATTTTGGTGGGACCCACCACCACACCTAAAAAGGGTTTGAGACCACAATTGGTCTCCATTTTTCTTCTCTCCCGCTAGCCCTTCCTTCTGTCTCTGTTTCTTGTTTTTTTTCTTTTTCTTTTTGAACTCAAACTTCATTCTTAGATTACTCCTCCACCTTTTGTCGGATTGAGGTGCCGTTTAAGGCAAAACGAAGCTTGTGTCGAGCTCTACGCATACATACCAACAATTCCAGATTTGGTGCACCCTTTGAACTTCGAAATTTAGGACCCATTTTCTAGGGTTTGCTCATTTTTGAGGTAGGGGCATCTTAATCCACTCTAGTCTTGTTCTATTGTGAATTTTACCTCCATGTTGTATTATATATGCTTAATTTAGAGTTAATTATATCTATGATGGTATTAATGATGTCTAGAGGGTTTTCACGATCTTGAATATGGTTGGTTCAT